AGTGAAATAGTTTTTAGTGTCGACTATAATGATCATTATGCTCATTCCATGGTAATATTGTCTGAATCTATTAGGCTACTTCATTCAATAAATATTGACTAACTTCAAGGGGAAATCAATTTATACTTAACATTGGTTTAATGTGAACACCATGATTTAAGTCTAATTTCCTGAAATACAGTTAAGCGAACACATTTACACGCAAATACATCACAACATATCAGCTCTGCGTTGTTGTGGTCATTTGATGTGACTTTATGGCGATGTGTCTTAAGGGAATACCTGGGAGCTGGGGATTCTTAGAAGGCACACAATGAAAAGCATTTGTTGTGAATATTTGAGGGAATATAAACGAATAAACTGACAAAGATGAGGGCAATACAAGAGCAGATGAGAATGAAAAATCTAAGATTTGTTGGCCACGGTACAAAGAGGTCCCAGCGAGTTTAAAACACCTGTCCTTCTCTAAACTTGTGATGTGGGATGGAAGTGGTCTTTGCTGTGTATATGGTGGTTCCTTCACTGACCCACGCGGGGGTACTCCACCCGGTGTCTCGTGGGCCGAAGAGTTGGCACGCTGGAACGACAGTTGATACACTATAAAGATGTTCCTCGGGCTCAAATATTCACGCCTCACCGCGCCCCACGCCAATGTTCTACTGCTGCTGGTGATAAAAACTGCCATCTCACTATTAAAAGATGTCCTCAAAAGTCACTGACACCCGCGCAGGTGACTCTACATATAAATCACCTTAAAAGTGGGCCGAAGTAATTCTCCCTCTCAGTATGAAGTCGTTTAATTTAGCATGCATCATTTTGATTGCGCGTTTCATTCACCAGTATTTTGTCATTGGACAAGATTGACCCCAGTGATTGTGCTGTCTGTTATTGCTGTCCTTTCTATGTTCTTCTTGTGACGTCTCGACAATCTCCCCTCTTGAGGGGATAGCAAAATTAGTACCCTTTATTTCGCAGGACGATGTATCTCGCTGTTGTAATTATATAATGAGAGCACCGGAGCCCAGTGTGCCGCTTTCCTACTAAATCTAACAGTGATATAAAGAGGATCACGGTTGAAGCCCTGGTCTGCTGACGTCATAAGGAACCGCCCATACTGTGTGACCGTAGTAGGAAGCAAGGCTTGTTTGCCTAGCCCGGGTGTCAGAGAAGGCATGTTTAAACTTGAATTTTG